ATATTGTGCTCTTCCAAAAAACTTTTTTTTTAACCTGTGAATATACAATTTTTCCTAAAAATTTTAAACAAAAGGCAGCTTGGAGATGGGCCTAAAATTATCCAAGACAGTTTGGTCTAGGCTAGGCTTTTTAAGCAGGGACTGCACCACCACATGTTTAAAACTTATTGGGACAGCACCTGAGGACAGACTGCTATTGATAACAGCAAGGATCACGCTGGAAAACACCTCTTTTAAAAGACAAGGGGGACAAGGTCATGAGGAGAACCTGATGGCTTAATATGGCTGACCACATCCCCTAAAAGAGTCAGAGTCACTGGTTTGAATCTATCGAACACAGCCAGGCAGGGGACCAAGCAGGAGGGGTCAAAATCAGGGGCTGAAATAAGGGCCCTTGTAGTAACAACCTTATTTATAAAAAAACTGCAGGAAGTCATTACAGAGTCCAGTAGAGGCTTCCAGGCAGACAGGTTGTGGGGCCTTCTGGACAGAGTCAATAGTTTTAAAAAGGACATGTGGATTATTATGATTGAACACAATAATATCTGACAAGTGTTGTTTTTTGTCCTCTTTAACAGTGTTCTGGTACTGACATTGACAGTCCTTTAAAATGTGAAATGCAACCTCCAGTTTATCCTTTTTCCATCTCCATTCAGCTCTGCGGCACTCCTGTCTGGCTGCAAGAGTTTTTTCATTAAACCAGGGTTCAGAGATGGTTTTAGGCCACACCAGTTTAGATGGAGCCACAGAGTCCAGAATGGTTGGACAGGAGGAGTCAAACCAGGAGCTCAGCTGTTCGGAGTCAGCAGCAGAGTCAGAAGGAGCACAGAGCTGTTCAAAGGTAGCATAGAACTGACCAGCAGTGGAAGGGTTAAAAACTCTACGGTGCTGGGCAGGAGCGCAGGATTTAACTGGAGCACAGGACAAACCAACATAAAATAAAACAGGCCTAAGGTCAGAAATTACATTATCATATCGTTCCAGGTTATTCACAGACAAGCCATGAGAGAGAACCAAATCCAATGTGTGTCCATGTTCATGCGTGGGACCAGCCACCCACTGAAACAGGTTGAGTCAATGAGGCTGAGAAAGTCTTTCACCAGTGGTTTCTTTGGACAGCATACATGGATGTTAAAATCCCCAACAATAAGGACTCGATCATAGTTTATCATTATTCCAGTCAGGAAATCAGAAAAGTCATTCAAGAAATCCTTACTATATTAGGGGCTCTGTAGATGACAGCGCACAGCACGGGGTGTAAGTGATCCACCTCAAATAAAGTAATCTCAATGCTGGAGAATGAAAATGGTGCAGAGCACTGATTGCATTTGTAGTGTGCTAAGGGCTAGGCTAGCTACCCTTGACTACAATATATTTAAATAAACGGGTTCTCTCTTTTTCTAATTAAATTACTGCCATGTGACCGAGGTAACTGTGCGTGGATAGTTTAATCAGTGACATGAGACGTTAATTTCCTTTGACCCATCAGAATAAATGTGGTAATTTATTGAACAGAATCAAAATTTAACATCAAAACGTACACTTGATTAGCTGATCTGGTTCTGATTAATTAAACTTGGCACGCTTTACTTAATAAGACAACAGGACTTGAAGAAGGCATCTAGACTACTGGCAAAATAGAAGAGTTTAAATATGGGAAATGAAGAGTTTAAACACTTAAAGGGGAGGTGTTTTGTTTACCAGAATTAGCACGCTTCTTTCAACACCAGCCCAACTCTCCGGTACACTTGGTGCGTGACGACTTGTTACCTTTGCAGAAGATACATCAACTCCGGTACAGAGGTCCATTTCAACGCTAGCTTTCAGCGTCTCCGGTAAGAGTGGCTGGCCATATCAGGAGTCGTGCCTCTTACTCCGTTCAACAAACACGCTCATCTCCCAGGTGGATACACAGCAAGCTGTGAGTCCGTCAGAGGTTCTACTCAGATGTGGAAGAATCCATCACAGGCTCCGAAGAATGAGTTCAAGACTAGACTTCATCAGAGACCCACTTGAAGTCTCAGGAGACTTGACCGACTGACTGACAGACTGCGAAGTTCCAGGAAGTGTGGACTCTTAAAGAGTTCTCACTTCCGGTCACTTCAGGACTTCCTGATTGGTTGAAACAACCAACAGGGGGTGGTTCTAGTGATGTCAGAGGGTCATTTCAAGTCAAGAAACCAGCAGGAATGTTTTAGGGACTTTTAGTACAGACAGGAGAAATGTTATGGCAAAGTGAGAGGAAGCAGGGGCCAGTAGCTTCTTATTTACCGTCTGCTAGGTTTAAAAACAATCCACTTCGTTCTAATAACTCCTTTCTGACTTTCGACCGACATCACTACTCTCTCATTCAGACAGAAAATCAAAAATGCATAATTACTTTGTAAAATGGACATTTAACTTGATTTCTAATTTAAATGAGGATTAAAAAATCATTAATACTGTTTCACAGTTGATTTAAAATGAGTGGTTCACTTCAACATTTAGAAATGGTATGAACTAAACACACTTTTGATTTATCAAGATATTGTAAAATAGTAATGATAATATAAAAGAAGAGTGTTCTTTCAATTGATTACTTCAGGATACAATTAGACAGTCTCTGAATGAGCTAATTTGTATTTCTGGATTCAAATCAATGAAATAACAGTTCCTGTCCCATGAAGGTCCTTAGAGGCAGGTTTTGGTCTGAGGCTGAGAGGTGGCAGCTCTACCAACTGTGCCCCTGTGTTGCCCATGCAGGACATATCTGCATCTACCTGTGCATTTAAATGAAGGCATGTCAGGGGAGGTTTCTCATGATTACTCAATTCCACATTCATTCTGATGTACAAAGGAAAGGTGCACCAAAACTTGCGTGCACACGGTTTGATTATTCTGAGTAATTTTTGTGCACATGTAGTTTTCACATTGAGATGCTGCTGCCAACTTTCAGTATGAACGCTGTGCACTCTTTCATACATGAGGCCATTGTGGACCCACATTGTCAACAGCAATGTATTGAAATGGACCCTCTAAAATTTTGACAAGTTGTATTGGAACAAACACGGCCCTATCCCAACTTTTTTGAGATGTGTTACTGCCATCATTTACTATAACTTTCTCCTAAAATTGTACAATTTCTTAGTTTAAACATTTGATGTTTGCTGTGTTACATTGTAAATTAAATGTGGGATTATGACATTTTCAAGTAATTGCATTATGTTTTTATTTACATTTTACACAAAGTACCAACTGTTTTTGAAATGAGTTTGTATTCATCCCATATGTTATTTTTAGAACCTAGAAAAGACCAGAATGTTTCTTATATGTCCAGATAAGTAAAACCATAGAATAGAACAAATGGGAATGTTTCCCACCACTGAGGGATTTGGATACTAAATACTTTGTAGTTTCTAAGATGTTTTTCAAGATTTTCTGAACTGGATTTTAACAGGAAATGCAAGTATACCTTAATGTTTTGGTGCAGGATATTAAAATGGGCAGGAATTATATTTTGTACAAGAATAGAAGTACATTTTTTTTGTTTTTGCTTGTCTCATGCATCGCAGTGACAGATCTTGTTGAGTGGAGGGAGCAATTTTATCCTTGTCCACATGCAATGGTGGAGCCAGGAGTTGGCCAATGGTGGCCTTGGACATCATTCAGCAGGCCAACTTTCTTTTTGGTGTTTTGCTGTATCTACTTTTTAGAAAAGTTCCTTTCAAATATTAGATTGCATGAAAAACTCCAAGATGCAAGTAAACATAAAAAAAATGGACCAAGGCCACCATTGGCCAACTCCTGGCTCCACCATTGCATGTG